GCTGTAAGATCCTGATAGTTTCTCTGCAGTTTCTCATAGTTTTCATTTAGCTGGCTGAGCTCATTGAGTTTCCTTAGAACCATTGTTTTGAATTCCATATCTGATAGTTCCCTTGCCTCTATTTCATTGAGCTCTCTCTGTGGGGAGTCCCCTTTTCCACTCATTTGAGGGGAACTTCTTTTTCTTCCCATTTTTGTGAGAGTCTGTTAAGTATTTTTGTCCTTAACTTTTCTTTCTGGGCTTCCTTCTGATGATATCAGTTGTTCACCCTATAGGGCCTTGGGTTGTTTTTGAGCCTTTCAGGAGTCTAATGCCTGTGTCTGGCTCCTGCTTGGAGCAGCTCTGTGACCCCTTCCGTCAGGTCTGGGTTATTTTTTGGGATCTCTCTGCGCTCTCACGCAGGCTCCTTGAGCGCGTTCCCAGCGCGGCAGGGTCCCCCACCTGCCTGGGCTCACATGTGCTTGCCCCAGACCAGGGGCCTTATTCGCGACCTCGCGTACTCACCTGGCCCCCCTTGGCACGCGAGCTTCGTGGCACTGGTCAGTTTAGGGTCTTCTATTGTGTATTTTCCCTCCTTTTGGCTCTTTGGGTGCGTTCCTTGCCCTCGCCAAATGGGGACTACGGAAATGCGAGGAAATCAGCTCTAGGACTCTCCGGTTATTCCTGTTTCTGGTCTCTCCTCCAGGGACTCTGGGCAGCTCTAATAATTTTGTGGGCTGCTCTGCAATCGCGGCGGGCAGGTCAATTTACGCCTGCCCTTGCTGCTCTGCGCACTCTCTCGCAGGCCTTTTGGGTGCCAGTCTTTGTGAGGCCTTGCCGGCCGGTGCAAGCATTCACCAGCCTGTGTGGGTCACACACACACTCGCCAACCCTCGCCGGTTACTGGGCGCAAGTTTGCGCGCCTGCTCTGGGTGTTTTGGGGGTGTCTGTGTGTGCTTTTCAGCTTTTGGCTCTTGGGAGGTGTGGCCTCTTCCTGCGCAATGGAGACTACGGCAAGGAGAAGGAGTCGGGCCTCCCCAGTTCCTCCTCCCGTTCTTTCCCCAATGCCTCTGTTTCTAGTCTCCCCTCAGGGGCCTCTGGGCAGTTCTGTGACCCCTTCTACCAAGGATCCGCCCCCTGTGCGGACTGCGTTTCAATCGCAGGCAGTCTGGTTCATGCGCGCCCTGCTTCTGCCTCTTTGGGGTCACGCCTTTCCAGCCCACAATGGAAACTACCGAACCGGGAGGGAGTCGGGACTCCCCGATTCCTCCACTCGTTCTTTCCCCAACGCCTCTGTCTCCAGTCTCTCCTCAAGGCTCTCCCAGCCAGTCTGCACTCAGCCCCCCAGCTCACTGGCGTACAAGCTGTGTGAGGAGCGCACAAAAGGCCGGTTAATTGATTCCCTTATGCCTGAGTGAGATGGTAGCTGCAGAGTGGGAGGCGTGCCATCACCAGGGCTCAACCAGCCGCCGTGTCAGTTCTCTTCACAAAGTTTTCCTCACCAGTCTTTTCCCAGGCACCAGCCCACCCTGCTGCCGCCTGTACCCAGCGATCAAGGAGGGTGTCTGCCGCTGCAACTTTTGCTTTTGCCCTTTAAATGTCTTTTTGCATCAGCAGCCACCTGTCTCTGGCAGAGAGCGCCCCTAAGCTTTTTGGGGTTGCGTTTTGTCTGTATTTTCTTGGCTTTAGCTGCTGTAGTTTAGGGGTTCCTGTTTATGATTCAGACCCCGTTCTTCTCGGGGAAAGCTAACTGGCCGTTTCAATGTCCCTCTGGTGCCAGTGCCTGTGGGCACCCAGCCCACCCTCTCGAGCCTCCACCACAATTCTCACACGTTGGGTTGTGTGAGAGTAGAATCCACTGTCCGCGGCACCAAGGCTCCTCTCCCACTATCGCTCCACTGCTTTCCAGGTGATTACTCCATTATTTAGTTGCAATTCCAATTTGGTTTTGGGAGGAGGTCAGCGTGACTCCCATTCACTCCTCCGCCATCTTCTCTCCCCTACATTATTTTCTTCAACTAACCAACACATATCTATTCTTGCAGAGCCAGGTTGAATCTCATGCCTCCTGTAGGAAGCTTTCCCTGATTTCTCTAGCCTACCACTTACTGGTTCATTCAACAAATGCTTGTTTCCCCATTCTTAATATTGTTCTCTCCCAAATTCCTTCTAAAGGAAAGGTCCAAGTCCGACAAACTTTCTGGGGAATACAGTGAACAGTAAAGGTGAGCTGGTGGTCCATCTCTGGAGAAGACATTTAGCTCAAATATATCTCCAAGTTTTCAGAGGTCTATGAGCATAGAAAGAGACAGCTTTTTAGAGGCAAAACCATCATCTCCCTGGCTGCCGATATTTGTCACCCACTGGCCTACTCATGATTACATCCCAACCTCAGCTCCAGGACTGTCTTTTTTTTAATTAATGTATTTATTTTTAGAGAGGAGAAGGGAGGGAGGAAGAGGAGAGAAATATCAATGTGTGGTTGCCTCTCGAGTGCTCACCTACTAGTGACCTGGCCCTCAACCCAGGCATGTGCCCTGACTGGAAACCAAACCAGCAACTGTTTGGTTCACAGGCCAGCACTCAGTACACTGAGCCATACCAGCCAGGGCTCCAGGACTGGTTTTTAGAGTGAAGACACAGGAAGAGTCCATCTTCAGAATTTTCATTAGTCCAAATCCTGACCACTTCTAAGAAGTTCTGACCCAAATATCCACACATCAAGGTTGTTATTTTATATAGAAATCTCATTGCACCCTAAACAAAATAAAAATCTGAGTAGGGGCTTTCAGAATGGCACAGTAAGAACCTCTGAAGATCTATTCCTCCCAAACAGCAATGAGAACACAGGAAAAAAAGTGTTACAAGCAACTTGTTCAGCACTCTGGAAAGGATCCAAAAGCTTGCATCAATCCGAGGAGTATGTATTAAAAAAAAAGACAAAAAACTACTGAATCTTGCTAAGAACACAGATCTTTGGGGCCTTCTAACTTGCCCTATTCCCATCCTCCTCTCCCCTGCTCAGTAGTGGTCTTGAAAAAGAGCATCCTCGTACCCATGGTAAACTATGAAAACCAGCGGCCCAGCAGTTACTGGAGGGATCAGAACAGCTTGGAATTCCTCAAAAACTCCTATTCTCAGGGCATTGTTACTATATGATCTGTCAGCTCCCCGAAATTTGTTTTCAGTAAAAAAAAATAAAACAACCAGAGTGTCTGGAGAATGCTCGCTCGCAGTGGGGTGATGACGGGAGCTCCACGCTGGAGCCGGCATAAGGTAGCAGTGAGAGCAGGCTCCTTGAGTTTCCCTATGCTGCCCAAGGATGACAAGAAGGATGCTGGAAAATGGCCAAGAAAAAGACCCAGTGAACAAATCTGGGGAAAAGGCCAAATGAAGAAGTGGTCCAAAGGCAAAGTTTGGGACAAGCTCAATAGTCTAGTCTTGTTTGACAAAGCAATGTATGATAAATTCCGTAAGGAAGTTCCCAAATACAAGCTTATAACCCCAGCTGTTGTCTCTGAGTGACTGAAAATCCATAGTTCCTTGGACAGGGCAGCCCTTCGGTGGCTCCTTAGTAAAGGACTTATTAAACTAGTTTCAAAGCACAGAGTTCAAGTAATTTATACCAGAAACACCAGGGGTGAGGATGCCCCAGTTGTTGGTAAAGATGCATGAACAGGTCCCACCAGATGTACATTTTGAAAAATGAAACTTTATTAAATAAAAAAATATATATATATATTTTATTGATTGTACTAAAAAAATTAAAACCAAAATAAAACTCCTGAAAACACTTTCCTAGGTAAAATTCCTTAATTTCCTCAGGTTTTTCCCATGCTTTGCTTCTCTAAGGCCTATTTGTTACACACACGAAGGACATACATGTTTCCCCTCCAGGCTTCAGATAGTGCATATACACAAGGGTCTGTTTTAATCATTTTAACAACAATAATAACAATAACAGTAAGATATAATAATACCTAGCATTGAAACAACACTTACTGTTTACCAGGCACCACCCTAGATGTTTCACCTACATTAACTCTGCAGATCCCCATAACAACCCTCTATTTTACAGATGAGGAAATTGAGGTACAGAGACCTTAAACAACTTTCTCAGGGTCATTGAAGCCTCTAGAGTGTGTAGCCCATATCCCGACACAGGCAGTTTTGCTCCAGAGTCTGTGCTCTTGATCTGGGCAAGCCCCCTTAACACCTCAGGTGGAGGAGTTCTTATAAACCATGTGGCTTAGGACTAGACTGAGGCTAAAGAGGCTTTCCTACTCTCATTCCCTCTGCCCCAGGTTTAAAATCTTAAAGACTGTATCTTCAGGCACCACAGACAACAGAGGGGCTAATTTTCCTGTACAGGCATACCTCGAAGATATTCTGGGTTTGGTTCCAAACCATTACCATAAAGTGAGTAGTAATGTTTTTGCCTGCAGTTTATAAAAAATGCAACACCTGTGAAGCACAATAAAATGAAGCATAAGAAAATGACATATGCCTGTATACATTTATTCAAATCAGTTTGGCCCAGAGATGGCAGTCAGGAAGAAGAAAGATTGGAGTAGAGCTAAAGAAAGGCTATCTTCTTCACAACCCAATAAGTAAAAGCAAGGGGGAAAAAAGACTACCATGCTAAGGGAGAGAGAATTCAGATAGGTGGGCAGGGAATTCCCCTAGTGAAGCTTGAAGTAGGAGTTACCAGGATGATCATCACAGGCCAATGAGTACAGAAGCTAAAAGCTATGTGGTCTTTTCCATCCTAATATTTGTTTTCAGCCATACCCAGAGCCTCCATTACCTGGGGTCAACTCCACCAAGACAGGAGGGCCTCCTGGGCAAACTTAGACCCCAGCCACAGTGTTCTATGTAATGCCTGAGAGCAAGGCCACTAAAGGGCAGCTGTTGTAATGAACTGTGCTTTAATGAAACACTTTACCAAGTTTTTACATAAAATGAGCACATTTTGTGTCCAGGACATCACATTTTTCTTTTATCCGAATACTAATGCAAGAGTTCAGTAGGAGCTTGTGGGGCACTCGGTCCTGCAGAGTCCTATGATTCACCGCAGATGAAATAACGAGTCGTTCCAGACACCGACTGTCTGTCAAGGAAAGGAGACAGCGATTCACTCTAGTGGGGAATGCCCCGAGCCCCTGTGCTCAATGGCTTTTATTGAGAGGGTTACAGGTGGGGGACAGGCAGCAGGAATGTTTAGGTAATCTAATTGCATCAGCAACTTAAGCTTACAGAGAACAGATGTTCTTTAAAGATGACAATGGCAGGAACACATCGAACTGCTTCAGGTCCAAGTTGAGCAAATATGGCGCCAGGTGGGATTTGGGTCAGGGTCCAGGAGTTTTATAAATTTCTTTCTCAGCCTTGAGCTGGTTATCTGGAATAAGATTAACAGAGCTTGAGGGAGAAACAAAGCATGGTTCAAGGAGTGTAATTTACTTCTAAGTATGATTTCCCCCAGGGGGCCCTTGGAGTCGTTATCGGGTCTTGACTGCCTCTGGCTCTATCAGTGTTCTGGCCAAAACTTACGGGTCGTTTCCCAGGCCCCAGCTTGTGTGGGGCTACAGTTCCCAATACCACTCGAAGCATTCCCCTACAAGAGCTGTCTCACAGTCCTCAGGACTACCAAGGAAAGAAAAGTGGTACAAGAGAGTAGTGAAAAAATACAAGCACAGAAAGTGAGGGTCTGCTGACTTTCTACTTTCATGTATGCAATGCATGAAATAAGAACTTATGATAAGAAAACAATATCCACACCCCTAAAGGTTGTTATACATGAATGCCTATTTACACACATTACTTATTCCAATAAATATTTATTGAGTACCTAGCATGTGCCAGACACTGTTCCAGGCACTAGGGATACATCAGTGAACTAAACAGATAAAATGTTTTGTCCTCATAAAGCATACTACTTTCACCTGCTCTTCCTCTCCTTTTTTTCTTTTATCTAATAGAAAACATCAAATTGTGAATAAGGAGACTGTGTTCGGTCCTAGCTCTGCCACTAATTACATGTGTGATCTTCACTAGCATCTCCAGGCTCAGGAGCCCTCTCTGCAGATCCTGAAGAACAAAACAGCCATTTTGGAGCTATGGGTAACCCCTGTCATCTGATGGATCATTGGCATCAATTCAATGGCAACAGGGATCCCCAATGCGGGGTACAGTAAAGGAAACTTTATTGAGTGCAAACAGCTCAATGGTGATACAGCATGGCTGCAGAGCAGCTTAAGTGTGATGCAGCATGGTTGCAAAAACAGCATAGCTGTGAGGTGGCCCTCTGGCCAGGCCCCTCTTCAGCTAGGAAGCTCAGCGCTGCTCTGCTCCATTCTGCTGATCTGCCTCTCTGCTCCTGCCCTGCCAATTCAATGCCAACAGGAACTCCCAATTTGGGGTGAAGTGAAGAAGGAAACTTTATTTAGTGTAAACAGCTCAATGGTGATACAGCTGTGAAGACAGTACAGCTGTGGAACAGCTCAACTGTGATCCAGAATGGCTGTCAAAACAGCATGGCCATGGAACAGTTCAAATGTGGCAGAGCATAGTTATACAAACAGAATGGCTGTGAGGTAGCTCTTGGGCCAGGCATCTCTCCAGTTAGACAGAACTGCTGTTCTCCTTTTTGGCCTGCTCTGGTGAGACAGCTTCAGCGTTTCATTCGACTCAGCCGAGGAAATGCTTCCTTCTTTGGTAGAATAGAAAAACGTGCTCCCAGAGCCAGAGGGGAGCTGGTTTATATAAACAGAAGTCCCCGTCCCTGGTCCCTGATTAGTCTGTCTCTATGCAAAGGATAACTATAAACCCACACACTTTGACTGGTCCAAAAGGCACTGTCCTGATTGGTCAGATTGGAACTGCTCTGGTCAGTGAAGAAGGTGATGGGGGATATAGCTGTGCTGCTCTGATTGGACAGAGAAAGCCTCAGTCCTATTGGTTTACATAGGATTCCAAGGACTCCTTTCAAAGGGCTGGCTCAGATGGCAGAAACAGTGCAGGCAGGTAGTTCAGTGTAGGCTTCTCTGCCAAGTGCAGTTTGAGTGAGAGGCCCCTGTGTAGGAATGGCCACTAGGCTGTTTTTTAAAATTTGAGTCCAGTTAGCCACCAGGAGCCCTTCTTACTAGGTATCTTCTTTCTCAGTGTGAACCCCCCAAATTAATCTAATACAGACTGTTTTCCAGGGGCACAGAGGCCAGAGAACTGTAATAAAAAAAATGAAGGTGACAGAAAAGAGAAACAGGGAAAGATGAAGAGGAGAACAGGAGACCTAAAAGGTTCCCAAACAAGTAGTGTTGACTGTAGGCTTTGAGTGTTGGATAAGATTTGGGTACATGTGAATGGACAGGAATGCTTTTCAAGGTAAAGTATACAGATGGAATAAGCAGATGCACTAGCAGGAGAGGGATGATCAAGGCTCCTAGAGAGAAGAAAAGTGTAGTTCTGTTTAGCTAGAACACACCGTAAGAACCAAACACTAATTCACATGAATTTTTTAAATGAAACAAGAAATGGAGACATTTTCTACTTGGCCCATAACCACAAGGTCAGTTGGTGGTTATACTGAACATTTATAACCAATATCTTTGACTGCTTACTGATTACACAATTCCAAAAGGACTTGTGTTCTGACTTATAGATAGAATAAGTTACGTGGCAAGAGCTATTTGTGTATGTAAAATACATATAGACATATATGGAAGCTTTAAAAGTGAACCAGATTCTGCCAGATTAAAAGAATGAAACTCCTATTTCCAACATGTCATTGAAAATAACATTATTTTTTTTCCAACCACATACAAAGAGATAGAGGAGAGCAAACATCTCTAACTCTCCGGTTACTAAGTACTGTTACCAAGGAAGATTGAAGGGCTAATAGGCTTCACAGACAGTTTCAAAACTAACACCATCAGTGTCTTATGTAAACACCTCAAATAAGCTATACTGAGGCAGGTCTTCATACAACCACAGCAACATAGAAATTTTTTTTTTTTTTATAAATAACTCAAGATAATTGACTGAAAGTGATTAGCAGGATTTCCTCAAAGGATTGTTACCATAGACAACTATAACATTAAATCTTACTATTCACTGACTAATTTGCCAGTGTTAATATGACTACTTTTTCCTTAGAAAATAAAACCCACACTCCTGTTAATTTTAATCAAGATGTTCAGTTAAAGGAATAATTGAATAGTTCAAGATCTTGTTTTAAAAGAAAGTGCAATTACCTGTAGAAGTTTCATTTAGCATACTGGGTGACTTCTCTTTCCACTCTTCCTCTTCTGTCCACTTCTGTCTACATCAGTGCGTCTGGGACCAAAGGGCCCAGCAGCAGCAAAGCTAAATGCTTTGTCATTAGACTGTTTTTCCTCTACCAACTATTTGCCTTTCTTATTCTTTTTACTCCAATTCTTTGGTGTTAACCAATCTTTCTACCTCTGTTTGGGTTACTACTGCTTTGTGATAAACTAGTCCAAAACTCAGTGGCATAAAACAATCATTTTACTTTGCTCTCAGATTCTGTGCTTCAGGAACTCAGACAGGGTACAGCAGGGATGGCTCCTGTCTGTCTGCTGCATGATGTCTGGGGCCTCAGCAGAGAAGACTGAACAGCCAGGGCCTTTAATCATCTAGAAGTATCTTCATTGACATGTCTCCTGGTTGATGTTGGCTATTGGCTGGAACCTCAGCTGGGGCTGCTGCCCAGAGGACCTATGGGTGGCCTCACCTTGGGCGTGGGATTTCTCAAAGAATGGCAGCCTCAGGGTAGTCATACTTCTTACATGGCAGCTCATGACTTCAAAGGTCAGTGTCCCTGAGGATAAGGCAGAAGCTGCACTGCTTCTTAAGGTCTAGCCTCAGCAGTCAGAGTCTCATTTCTTCCTGTCCTATTGGTTAATACAACCAAAGTCTGCCCAAATTCAAAGCAGGGGACATCAACCCTACTTCTCAATGGAAGGGTGACAAGGTCACATTATAGAAGAGAGTCGGGGATAAAAGATACTGTTGTGGCCATCTTTGAAAAATACAGTCTGCTACATCCTCCCATCTACTTCTCTTGGCTTAAGTATATGAGTACTCTGATTTGATTTTTTTAAAAGGAAAAACAACCTCAGGAGACTACTATTTTTACTGAGGCTCCTAAGTTCTGTTAGAGGGTAACCAGATGCTTTCATCCACATCCAGCCCCCAATCTTTCCTGTTCAGCACAACTAACTTATTTCTCTGCTATATATGGCTCCTGGCAGAAAGGTAATTGAGTCTCTTACAGGCTGCTGGACCCAGCATTGATCACTCTAAGGGAAAAGCAGCCACTGACATATGGAAGATGGCCTAACCCTCACAGTGAGGCCTTGGTGTTCTCCTGACGAACATAAACAATTTCACAGACCATCAACATCAGACAAGTCCAGCATGTGACCACAGTGATCAAGACAAATGCAAGACCACTGCACAATCATCTCTGAAAACACAAAACATAAGCTTTGACCAAACCACCAAAATAACCAAGCAACCTTCTAGCCTGGCTAATATGGACTGCTGCTAGTTTATAAATTAGCCTCCTTCTAGATAAGATTCATTAAAATACTCAATCACAAAATTACCCCTATGTATATTGTTACTTCCTAACAGAATCCAATCCATAGCAAAGCCTCGCTTCTTTAAACCCTCCCCCCAATCATTTAACCCAAGTCTCAATTCTATAATAAATCTTTTGTAACACCTCTGAGATGCCCCCATCAAGTTGCCCATGGTGTGCATTCTCCCTACATGCACTGAGTAATCAACCCTACCTGTAGAAACAGGCATATGCTTGGTGATCTTTGATTAGACGGCACTGACAATTCCTCTAAGGACCTTGAAATTAGAGAACACATTTCTGCTGAGGTCAGTTCCGGTCTCCTGAACTCCAGCTTTTTGTCTGACTTTGTGTTTGGCTCTTTTACAATGTAGTTTTTAAAGACAACTATATGAATTCCTTAGACCTCCAGAAGCTATTAAAATGCCCTATTGTTAAATACATATATCTATATACATACACACAAACACATATACATACATACATATACACATACACATACATATATATGTTAAGATTAGGTCTTCCAGGTTTCGTCATCACCTCATCAAGTGCAGACAGATTACTATGGTAACAGTGGCACTAGCTGCCCTGTTCCCAACATGGTCACAGGACGCAAGGGCAAACCTGGCTGCATGCATACAGATATTTAAGCCTCTGTTGTGGGAAAAGCAATAGGTATGCACCTGGCAAATGGCTCATCAGTTGCAGATACCAGATTCTAGAATATATTTTTGCCTCCTCCTCCCCCTAGTGAGTTCTTCATTTTTCTCTAAACTTGTTTTACAAATAAAAAATGTGACATTAATTACGGCAATTACTCCCTTTCCCTCTTCTTTACAGTTCTCACTCACTTGATGCAAGGACTCTCATCCTCAGAAAAAATATTTCAAATAAAACAATGACCTCTCATAGCTGTGTGGTTAGGTGCCTGGCCTGAAACCCCACTCTAATTCAGGTTAGAGACATATATTGACTTAAAGTTGTTTAGGGAATCAGCTGTCACAAGCAAGAAAGATAGATTGGAAATAATCCTGTCTGAATTTGAATTCCGGAGTGATCATGTGTTTGCTGCTCTGACACATAAGACCAAAAATTCTCTTTAGCATCCATCTGTCTACTCTCATGGTCTGTGAGATACTGAATGTTCAAGTGAGAAAATTAAATCACTCCTGCTTATAAATCACTTTGGATAATTCAAACATAAATTTTATTTCTAAATTGAAAATTGTCCTGTCTGTAATACTAGGCACAGATTAGGTAGAGATGAGGACTGGTACAGAAGGGAGGAATCAGGGCACAAGTATAAGCGATAGGCTCATTAACTTGCAAAACTTAATTAATATTCAAGTGTCAGAGTGTGAATATTGATGGGGTTCAAGTTATGCTATCACAAAATATTAATGTGACATTCTGAATATTCTAAGCTGAAGGAGTTTGAGAAAATGGCAAAAGCGGGAAGGTCACTTTGCCTGCCTGCTCCGTTCTCCCTTAAAACAAGTGATAAAACCCTCATGTGAAAGGTGCCCTCCTTACACCCAGAAAAATGTAGCATCTTTACCTCCGCAGACAAAGGGAAACCTAGAAGAATTCTAACAAACATGCCTTGCTAAGTTTCTTCCAGTTTACTACACTTGCTTCATACTCTTTAACCTCTTCTATTCCTTCTGTGACTGTCTGTCCACTCTTTATCAAACCTAATATACTCAGGTCTGTTTCTTTCTGTCTTTATTTCCTTATGAAGGTTCCTATGTCACGTAAGACATTAAATGCATTTGTTTCTCTTCTGTTAATCTGTCTTTGTCACTTTAATTTTCAGACCCAAGTCTGGGACCCTATGAGGGTCAAGAAAAATGCTTTTCTCCCTTCCAGTGCCCTGATGAGTCCCTTGGAATGTGAATATGACAGATCTTTAGATTTCTGAAACATCTAGGGTACTGGTCATCCTTGTATCTTAATGGCCCTTGCAAAGGCTCATAAGAAACCGAGACCTGTTTGTTTGGACACATGCATGTGTGCGCGCGCGCGCGTGTGTGTGTATGTGTGTGTGTGTGTGTGTGATGTATGTATGCGCATTTGGTTTTGGGGTTTTACTTGTTTTGTAACTGGCTTGGGAAGAGATTGGGAATCCAACACTGACAGGAGTCTAGAATTCTGATTAGTTTGCCCTGGTCTTTTGGGGGCTCTTGGGAGGCTTTGTAGGGTAGGTAGAACTGTGGACTGCCAACCTCCAGGAAACTGTTTAGGCTAATCTGTAAAGTTAAGTTTCAAGTTACACCCTGGCACAGACTTCTGCTTTCCTCTGTGCCCTAAAATGAATAAACTATTTCTTCTGAGGAGGGTGTTTCATTGAGGGTGAAAAAAAACTACTCATCATACCTTCTCAATTCTGACTCCTTACACTAATCTTTCTGTTTCAACCAGATCTTTATAGCTGTTTTCCATTTTTTAACTTCAAATAATTTATTACCAGAAATGAGGAACGCTTTTTTTTTTTTTTTGGTAATAACACAAGTCAGAGTGTGAGTTCCACTATAAACAACTACTACTTGTATATAACTCAGCAAGATATCTGAAAAGAAAACAAGTACTTTGTTTTTTAAACAATTTTATGGTAGGAGGAACTCTGACACCTATGAGTGACAAAAAACTAGGGCAAACCTTCCTTTATTTTTAGTTTGGAAAGACCCATCTTTGCTCATCCATTCAAAATATACAAATGAACAACAAAAACAAAGACATTTTATTTCATATCTACTGTGACTTAATTCAGGCATGTCTAACCTTTAGGACTGTGCCTAGTCTTCCTGAGAGATGTCCCTTCTGGTTTACTAATGTCGGTTCTGTTCTCCAAGTGTGGTCCCAGAACCAGTGGTATCAACATCTCCTAGGAACTTGTTAGACATATAAATCTGGGGGCCTGCCCGCTGAATTAGCAAGTTTTCAGGCTCCATGTACAATGCGAGGCCTTGCTCTAAGATAAGCCTGACCCTTTAGCAGGGGTCCTGTAGGTGTCATTGTGATGGACAAATACTCTCACCAAGAACAAACTAGTTTGGGCCTTAAATGCTACTCCGTTCTCAAGGCAACTGCACCTCAACTAAACAGGGACGGAACGTGCCTGGGAGAAAACTGCACACAGTTTTGCCCTGCTTATTTTATCTTCAAAATAAATGTCAAATCACCCCATCAAAGGCCATCCCAGATCGCACATTGTGGGTTTGGTGAAAACCCCCTGTAGGTTTTCAAAACACTTGATGTATTCTCTCTATTTCCCTGCATTGTAAATTGTCTGTCTCCATGAAATAACAGGCTGTAAGTGTCGAGGATAAAGGCTAAGTTCTTGACTCTATTGCAGTACTCAGCACAGAGCAGATACTCAGTAATTTGTTAAAGGAAATCAGTCAACCCATCAAAACTAGACTCTTAAACCAAAGACCCAATAAAACCGTCCCGTAAAGGTATGATCCATATGTGTTAGTGCCCAGTCAACAACATATTTTCACCCCTCTGATTTTACCCTTCAGTCTTCTGTTCGCTGTGTCCCCCACCCCAAAACAACCAGAAAATTCCCACATCTCAACAACACCTACACAAGTTTCATTCCCCCTTGCGTCACCAACGTCATCAATTCTTGCCGCCAGGTCCGTCGGTCGTCAACTCCCAGAACTCCTCACTCCCTTACTTCCGTTCCCCTCTCCCTGCACGACTGGCGGAAAGACGTTCCTACGAGCTCAGCCCGAAAACTGTGCTACAAACCTCCGCCTCATCTGCTCTCCCATCGGGGGCCAATGGCCCCTGCGTCACATCCTCAAAGAGCACCTGCAGCAGCAGTGACCAGATCCAAGCCTGCCGCCGCACTCACTTAGAGCCCGTCATAATAGAGACGCTCACCGGATGTTTCCCAGGCGCCCACGGGGGTGACGTACAACGGAGCTCCCACAATCCTCTTCGTCTCGGGTCTTCACCCCGTCCCCGCATTAACACCTTCACCTCCGTGCGCAGAGGTCTACCAACCTTACATGCTGAAGATTGCTTGATTCAAAGGTCCAGGTCACTTATCTGTTAAAAGACATGAAAGACCGTGCCTGTCTTCTGAGCCATAACCATCTGTTGACCCTTAATTGGCTTGTAAGTTGACCAATTATTTTAAAATGGGAGCTAACTTAAGTAGATTAACAACAGGGACATTCATAATTATGCCTTTAAGGTTCTAGATCAAACCAAACTCTAAATTTGCAGTTTCTGGCTATTCACCTTAAACCTATGCCCCTTCTACCCTCCAGTTCCTATCTCCGTTTGGTTCTTGTCTGACTGTTTAACTTCATATCTCAATGGATAAGGGCACAGACTTTGTAAACCTGACATTCTCAGTTTGAATCTTTACCACTATCCAACTGTGGAATCTTAAGCAAGTGATTTAAGCATGCTATTCCTTGGCTTCCTCATCTGTAGAATGGGTATAATAGTAGTAACTACTTTCAGTAAAAGTTCACTGACACCAATCTAGTGTCAACAAAAGCCCCAAATCAGGGGTGAGGAAAGAAAATAAACTTTATTCAAAAGAACAGTTTTCAAACTGTGGAAATGAAATCTCTGGCGGAAACCAAAAGTGCACTCCGGGGAGCCAAGAGGAGGCCATCTTTTATAAAATTCCCAACTTGGTTCCTGACTGGTCCGTTCTTATGCAAATGAAGAATCAAGATTTGCACAATCTGATTGGTTGTTATGGAGCCACTATGATTGGTCAGTATAGAGGCAAAAGATGATGTAGGTGCACAGATTCATTTAAACAGGGCAGGTCTCAGTCCTAGTAACTGGAATACTGTCCCAGGAACTCCTTATAAGTGTCAGTTCAGCCAACGTATACACAGTGCAGGAGGATGGCAGCTCAGTCTGTGGTCTTTCCTTGAAATACAGTGTGCTTTTAAAAGTTTGTATGTGAGCCCTACTGGTGTGGCTCAGTGGGTTACACACCAGCCTGCGAACCAAAGGGTCACTGGTTCAATTCCCAGTCAGGGCACGTGCCTGGGTTGTGGGCCAAGTCCCCAGTATAGGGTGCTCAAGAGGCAACCACACATTAATGTTTCTCTCCTCTTTCTCCCTCCTTTCCTCTCTCTCTCTAAAAATAAATAATAAAATATTTTTTAAAAAACTATATGTGAGCAGCACCTAGGACTTCGCCTGGCACAGAGTTAAGTTGTATATTGAAACAAATTAAAATTATTGACTTTAATGGAGCTGTCCTCTCAGTGAAGACCTTCTAGATAATGAATAATAAATAATAATGGTTAACATTTGAGCATCTATGGACCAGGTACTATGCTGAGTGCTCTAAACCCATTTTTTTTTTTGTGGTTGTTTAATCCACAGAATCATTGGTGGTAGTGACGAGTATTATCCTTCTCTCCCCTCCTCTCCTCTCTTTGTCAACTAAGCAGCTAAGAAAATTCAGATCAGTGAGATAGCAGATAACTCAATAACTTGCCCATGGCGACAGAGCCAGTAACAAATAGAACAAATAGAACCAAGACATCAACTCATATGTCTTGGCCCTTCTCAAATATCACTGAGAAAACAGCCATCAAGTCTTTTCTATTGTTCTTTTTCCCTAAGAGCTGCCTCATTATCCACATCAGAAAGCCAGGTTCTCTTCAGAGCCATAAAAACAGCAGACAGTAGAGCAAGGGCCTCTCTCCCTTGAAGGCGGGCAGCAACGGAGATGACTAAAATAGCAATCATAATAACTAGAGGTGCCTTTATTTATTGTGTGCCCCACTATGCCACAGAGGCCCCATTACTGCCTGTACTATCTAAGGCCACCAGAGATAAAGATGCAGGATCCCTGTCTCACCCAACCATTCTGCAAAACTTGTATATTATCAAAGATTTTGCCTGTTTTAGAACAGTACCAAGAAACTTTTTAGTATAATATCCTGACTCCAGCCCAAGTGATAGTAATTTCCACATTAACAGACCATAGAATCAGGAATTTCTACCTCAGCCCAAGAGCAGAGGGAAACACCCTCTTGCACAGATTAAAACGACAACAAAAAAAGACTCTCTGCTTTCCCTCAGAGTCTAGTACCCACAGTCCTGTTATTCTTGCTCCACAAGCACCTACTGCCATTTCCCAACTTACCCTTAGGTGGTTCCCAGTGGTGTTTTCAGGAGAAAGACTGGTGATGGTAAGGGGACTGGGGAAGGAGGAGAAGGTAAACACCCAAATGTGCTGATGGTAAACCAAGCACTGCTTTGTTCCCACCCCTTACCACTTTTGTAGCTCCCTGACCTTCTTCACTCCCTCTTGGAATTTCAGAGTTCATTACCCTGCACACTTCTGGGCCTGAATTGCAGAAGAATCAATATCTTGTCTTTCTTTTTCCCCAACATCCAACAAGAGCACACATGTCTGGGCTTGCTCTAGTTTTAAGTGGATAAACTAAAAAAGAAAAAGGAGAGAGACAACATAAGGAGGATTTTTACTTATTTTCCCCATATTTCCAGCTGTAAAACTATTAGAAAATGTCAACATAGTGGTAAAGCTGTGAGAATTCCAGTTCCAGAGGCCAGGAAAGATAAAAATCCTTATGTAAAGCAAAATGTTGACAGAGAAAAAACAGCATACATGGGTGCCTTTAGGGCCAGTAGAAATAAACAAAGGTTGTATGGGGTGGGGAGGTTTGGGTGCAGATCTCAGACCCAAACAAGAGACCCTGCCTTTACAGCTCCTTTCACCCTACACCCCGTATACGCATTCCAGAGACTTCATCTGTCTTGAATTCTCCTAACCAACCCGGCTCTTTCACTGATGGGCAAAAATCATGGATGCCACCACAACTGCTAATGCTTAGCAAAGGGTGTAAGTGAGGGGAGAGGAGACTCCTACACCCAGTGTTAGAAAGGAAGATGTGTTCCGAACATCCCTAGTTGTTTTCATAACATATTTTTAAAAAACACATCACACATAGGTTTTTTTTTATTTTTTACATCACATATAGTTTTAAGTGTTCAAATTCTGCACTGCTTTCTATAGAATGTTTCATTTATATGTTTTTAAAGGGCTGATCAGGGGTCTTTGACAATGCTTCTATACTGTAGTGTGCATACACTGCTGGTGATCAGTTTAAGCCCCCTCTGCATGGCAGATAGACTCACCACTCAGCAATTGTGAGTGCTAGCTCCTAATTATAGCTGCTTTCTTCTCTGGAGTATTGCACTCTGCAGAATAAGAGCTTCACTACTCTACAATAGCCCCACTCCCCACACAGCCCTGAAACCTGCAGTCAAGGACTGACTGATGATGAGGGTGCATAATGCCAGCCACCTTACCTCAAGGTGGACCAATTCTGTCATGCAAATCCTACTCCCACACTCCTTGTGGAGTCAGGCCAAAGCTAGTCTCCAACTTGCTTAGTGTTTTTTCCCTGCCCTATCCTGCTTCCCTCATTCCTCAAACATAAGACCCAAACATATCTGAAAACCAATTTTTGAGTATATTTGAATGTATTCCTTTGGTTATTATTTCTCATAATTAGTTACCTTAATTATTTATTATTTTTATTTAATTACTAATAATTATCTATTATAATTTATTATTTTAATTCTTTTAAAAATGTGTAATTTAGAATAATATATTGCTCATATCCTTCCTCCAAAAAATAAGATTAGAGAGGGCTTTTTAATTGGTTGCTTTTGATTTGTCCAATGTAACTGCAACATTCTCTATTTCATAAGGAAACAATATAATTTTTCTACTGATGTGAGAAATGTTGGTTGTTTCTGAAAAGCCTTTTTTACATAGTCAAATAAATCACAATATTTATAGGTCTTGTGTGGTAGTTTAGTAGTATACAAGACTGTCAATATAGCATAAGAAAGAATATTATATGAGGTATGTTTGGAAAAAGTCCAGCCATTGTTAATATAATAGAACGGTTCTCACAACATCGATGTAACCTGGCAGCCAAGGACAGTAGACTGGAATATGCATGCCTGAACAGTGATGACTTCACTGCACTAGTCAGTGGGGGCAGTAGACGCCGTTGAATGAGCATGTGTACTGTGTGGCTTCTCATTCAAAATGACTGAGCAACGTAGCTGCATCATTTTTTTGCATTAAGCTTCAACATTCCTCCGTGGAAACTATCCAGATGATTCAGAAGGTCGCAGCTATGGATGGGCAACTGGTGATTGACAGCTTCATCATGACAACATGCCCACTCATGCATCATGTCTCATGGAGAGTTTTTTTGCAAAACATCAAATCACGGAGGTGACTCAGCCCTCTTTACAGTCCAGTTTTGGTGCCCTGTGACTTCTGGCTTTTCCCAAAATTAAAGTGACCTCTGAAAGGGAAGAGATTTCAGACTATCAGTGAGATTCAGAAAAATACAACAGGGCAGGTGATGGAGATTCGGAGTACTGTGTGAGATCCCAAGGTGCTTACTTTGAAGGGGATTGAAAAGTGTATCTTCTTCAATAAATGTCTCTATTTTCATATTACATGGCTGGATATCTTCTGGACAGACCTCATATCCATACAAAGGAATACAGTGTGGGGAAGAGTAGGTTTACAGTTGTTTGTATGGAAAATAATACAGTAATTAATAAATAATAATACAAGAATAAACTGTTTTGTTTACTCAGCACTGCAAACCTACTTTCATCCCACCCTGCATATATTATTGGTAATTGGATATGTTATTCAGCAATTGAAAGATATATTTTTGTCAACGAAAAATAACAAAGTACTCTATTATGAGGTCTGTCCAGAAAGTATCCAGCCATGTGCTATGAAAAATAGACCTTTTTTCAAAGAAGATACAAGATATAAGAACTATTGTACATAGGACAATGGTGCCTCAGTCCCCTTCAAAGTTGGCACCTTGGGACTCACACAGTTCTCTCAATCGCCATCAGCTGCCCCATTG